AATGGCCCATTGAACTCGAGGCCAAATTTGTCATCAAAGACGGCTTTGACGAAAATCCGGAAACAGCGTGGGCGGTCAAATAATTGATATACCGTGGCCTAAAATCTCTATTCAAGCCATGCGCTAGCTATTTCTATCCGTGCATAGTCCACCAATTCTACTCCAACATGTTTTATTCATGTGCGGACTTGGACATCATTAAGACCACCATTGATGGCGCAGAATTGGAATTCAACATTTATGACCTGGCCACAGCCTTGGATTGTCCAATGGCATCTCCGGTGGATGAGGTAGGCCTGCCTCTGTACATTGATTATCCAATTCGTCTGTAATTGTCAAACATTATCGAGAAAATTTGCCACAACCAGTATACCGGCAATCGAAAATCAAGCACGAATAAGTTGTACCTTCCGTGCCGGCTCTGCTTCGTGGACTCCGTCATTGCCAAAAATATCCTTCCTGTTCCTAAGCATTCTGAGCGTAAAAGGGGTTTTTCTGCACACCCTTTATTCCGTTGAGAAGGAGCAATGGTTTTGAGTCCCGCAGCTCATCTAGGACCAGCACTCAAGGTATACAATGATCTTTTTGTGACTCAGTCGGATAATGCCTTCACTTGGGCACTTCTTTTTCCATACTTGGTCACCAAGCTCATTAAGAATAAGTAGTTCAAGGTCCCCCGCGGAGAAGAAAAGAGCACTGAGGTATTTCCTTTTGACATTGGTGCTTGGAGGTCGAGCACCATCCAGCTTAAGACTTTTCATCAAGCCCGCATTAGCGGTGTGTTTGATTGGGGAGGTCCAGCTATCCCTGTTACTCTTGCACCAGCTGCTCCCGCACCAGTTGCGCCGCCACCGCCAGCTATGCCTCGTGCTGATTACGACTCTCTCAGCACTTATCTTGATACCCTTCAGCTGCAAGTCGACACTATCGAGGGCACCCTAACAGACTTCTGTAAGGAGACTCAGGAGGGCCAGCAGGTCTTACAGGCTATGCTCCAGTCTCTGCTTGACCGAGCCCCAGGCGGTGCCGATGGTTCATCCTCCACTCCATTGATAGAGTGATTTTATGCTTTCAGTATCTATTTGGATTTATTTTGGGCCGCTTTTAGCATTATATTCAGTTCGTATTTTGAACTCATAACTGCAATTGTGTTGCTATTTTGCATAAACACTTTGTGTTTAGTTAAATAAATTGCAGTTGTTTATTTTTCTCTCTGTCTAGATTTATATGATGCTTGTTGTGCATAGATGTGTTTTGATAGGTTTTTAGAATCAAGTTTAGGGGCGTTACTTCTAGAATTCGCATGGTGGTCTGTTTACCCATTGATTTTTCCTCCACTTGGTATTATTGCTCTTTGTACCCTCCTTTGTCAATTCCAATTCCATTCTTTGTCTTCTCACATTGAGGACAATGTGACATTCAAGTTTGGGGGTACATTATTGCATTTTTGGTATTACATTGTTATTGCATTTTTGTTTGAATGCGCTAATTGTTCATGTAGAGTAATAAAAATCATTTTTTGGAAAGCAATGATAGAGTAATCTTAGAACTTGTTGGAGATTGAAGCATGTATTTAATACTTTGTGTATAGAGGCAAATGATAGTTTTGAAAATAAAGAAAAATCTGAAATGATCATGTTGATTCAAATCGATTTGTATAAATGCTTCAATTAGATTTTCGTCGGATTTCATACTCTTCTATGCTTCACACTGCACAGATGCACACCGGAAACTTAATTATAAGGCATGCAACCTGATTTACCTTGACCATGACTCAGTTGATTTGAATTGATGACCCTAATAAATGGATATCTTTGGCGTTAAAAATAAAAATAAAAATATATATATATATATATATATATTTTAATAAGGATAATGACTAGTTTAAGTTCGTAGCCTTGCTAACTCGAGTTATTAAGCCGTTGGAGTGTCCTTACACTTAGCACCTTAAAGCCATCCGGTTTGGGAGTTGTTGGCCTAACACTTGCTACATGGGTTAGTTAGAAAGCTTAAGGGACTTAGGTATTGCACGGTCATTCACAAAATTAAAAAATAAATAAATATGGTTCGTTGGAGTTCGTAGCCTTGCCAACTCGAGTTATTAAGCCCTTGGAGTTTCCTTACACTTAGCACCCTAAAGCCATCTGGTTTGGGAGTCGCTGGCCTAACATTCGCTACATGGGTCGGTTAGAAAACTTAAGGGACTTCGGTATTACATGACCATAATATGTATATAAAATAATAATAAAAAAATAAAAAAATGTGTATTTTGAATAAATCATGCCTTAGAGACCTTATTTAAAAGGGAAATTCAATTATTTGAAGACTTGTGCTTTGAAATTGGAAAAAGAAGGTAAAAGCCACATATTGGGAATCTAGTTCACTTTCAATGAAGTTAGAGTTGATTTTTAGTCAAGAGATGACCATTAAAGTATTTATATAGACTATGATGTTGATGCATGAAAATTGAAATATGTTTAGCCACTTTGTATATCGAGGCCTCATATACACAAGGTAGTCTGCAAAATGATTCCGTCTCCAATTTTCTGTCTGTTCCAAGTTGCAAATGAGCTGTGTGTGTATTTCTTTGCACCATAGTTGATGTATGTTGATAGCATTACAAATGTTGTCATTTTTGTTAAGAGCTTTATTTTTGGTTTTGTTATGGGACTAGCAAAATGTAAGTTTGGGGGTGTGATAAGCGCCGAATATTGCATATTCAAACGCCCTTATTTGCATTAGTTAAGTCCATTAGTTGATCATATTGTATATATTAGCCTCATTTGCATGCCTTTATTTGTTTTCAGGTTGGTTCCCCAAAAAGAGTTAAAAGAGACGCTTTGATGAATTCTTGAAGAATCGAAGCATGCTGTTGCCGGGGACCTTCATTTTGGCCAAGCCTGTGATCCATTGAACTCATGGTTATCCCTGCAAGAAGTGATAAGAAGAAAGGTCGTGTCATCGAGTCGAGCTAAAACCAAGTCAAGAAGTAATTCAGAGCTTTGTTGCAGCATTGCGGGCGACCGCCAAATCATCTAGAATCTGTGCAAAACTACGGGGGCACGCCATAACCTGTAGGCCCCCTCCAAAAGCCACGGCCAACCCTCTTGACACTGTGCGGGCGCCCGCCCTGCGCTGCAGGGGCCGACCAATCTGTAGATAAGTGGGTGTGGGCTGCATTGTTTCATCCAATGCTATCCCCTTGACCCAATGTGTGGTTCTGCATTCTTCTAGGGATGATGAGCCACAAAAATGGAGTGGTTGGAGGGCTATGGTTGATTATTTAGAGTCTTGATACAATGTATTATCTCATATCTCATATGTAGGATATTTATAGAGAGAGAAATATTGGTTCTAGAGAGCTTGTGAGTTATTCGTGGCTACTAAGGGTGAAAATGGAGTGGAGGATCTCATCCACACCTTGTTCCTTTGCATCCATGGGTAACTAACTCTCTTTCTAGGGAGGTGATGAAGCCCTTCTTTGTAAGCATGCTCTAGTTTTGATTTTATTTTGGGGAATGATGTATATATGTGGTAGTTTTACAATCTAGAGTATTCATCTTGATATAATGAACCTAAATTTATATAAATAATCATGTTGAATCTATTATCTCGTCTTAGATTGTATGTTCTCATGGTTATATGGCTTACTTTTTCATGGTGACAACGAAAATAAGATTGTGGAATGATTTTAATGGCATGGTGTTTGAGAAGCTTGATAGTTCATGGCTTAGGTCCTTCCTTTGATGGTCTATTCTTGATTTTGTAACTTCATGTGTTTGTATCATTTAATTGAGGGTTTGATAATCTCTAGCTTAATGAGCATGTCTAAGGCTACACCCTAGTTTAGGTAGTTCAAGCATGTAAAACTTTGATAGGTTATTCTTGCCTCTTGATTTCATGAATTTCTTGAAGATAATGTAGCAACCATGTGTTGCAACATATTATGGCCACTTATATATGTTGTTTTCCCAAGTAAATCATATTATAGCATGTTTATATGGTAGGTAGTGGATTCACTTCCCTAGTCCTCTCTACCTAAGTTTCTTTCCTCTTCATTTCCTTCATTTTATTGCTTAATGCACATTTTTAATTCTAGTTACCAAGTGACAAACCAAATAAAACCTTATACCCCTTTAATCAAACTAAAAGTAATTTTAAAGACCTTGGTTGCTATAAACTAGCAATCCCTGTGGTTCAACTTACCCGAACGATAGCCCTATTTTACAATGATTTGTGCTATTACAAAGGGCTGATTATTATTGAGATCGTCAACCGACCATCATTGTCCTATAATTATGAGAACCCAAACGTGTTCGCTTCCACCATTGATAGAGAAACTCTCACCTTCACATTGAAGGACATCTCTATTGCTAGTGGCTGCCCCATTAAATCTCCAGTCGACGATAATGGGTAAACCATCTTTAGTCCTTTTTCGGAACTTATAGATTAAGAGGACATTGTTAGGAAAATTTGCCACAACAATTACACAAACCCAAGGAACACCCACTACAAGAAAAGTGTGTTTTTACGACCAGCATTTACGAGGCTTATTTATTTTGCCTCGTAAAAACTGCATTTGACGAGGTTTAGAAGGGGTTCCTTGTAGTTCTTACACGCTTTCATGGGGTCAAGAATAGAATCCTCGTAAAATATTGCTTTCACGGGGTGTTAAAGGTCGTTAATATTTACATATATTAACGAGGCATTTGTCAACTCTAACGGGATATAAGCAGCTCGTTAATGAAGGTCAACTCTAACGAGATGTAAGTGCCTCGTTAATGAAGGTCAACTTTAACGGGGTGTAAGCGCCTCGTTAATAAAAGTCAACTTTAATGAAATGTAAGCACCTCCTTAATGAAAGAGGCTAATATCTCACCTTTCCCACACAGTTTCATGGGATAAAATAGGGTAAAATATCACTTGATATAAGCCCGCCCATACAATTTCCCACTCCCGTGCCAAAGTTGATAATCAGTCAAAGCCCGTGTGGGAAAAAAAATTAATTACCTTTTCATTTAGACGAACCCTAGCGGCTTTTATTTGTATTTGCTCTCTAGCACAACTAGTCCCCATTACCAAATGCCTTTGTCTCTTTTTCACAGTAGCAGCCTCTGAACCCATCACGCCCACTGGAGAAATTGAGCTTCAACAGAGTAATCTACACCCGTTTTTACTTAACCCAAAGGTTCCTGCTCAAATTTCCCTATTGGTTGACAAATTCGACCCAGACCAAGGCTCTAATTAGTTTCTTTCTTCCTTTATTTCTGCTGAGGAAGCTTGAAGTCAGAGAGTTCAGAGAGAAACCATCTCGAACTGTTCTGACCCAGACCAAGGCAGAGCTATATCTTCAACCATCTCTCTACCCTCTAAGGATCTGAACGCACATTCATTCTTCAGGTAATCTGCAATCCCTCTTTCTCTAACATTTTTAGGGGTTTTTTCAATCTCTCTTTTTCAAAAATTTTAGGAAATTCTTCAATCTGTCTTTCTCTAACATTTTTAGGGCTTTTTTCAATCTCCCTTTCTGAAACATTTTTAGGGCTTTATTCAATCCCAACTTCTCAAACATTTTTAGGATTCATGCATGGATTTTTTTTTTTTTTTTCTCTGGTTTTATTGTAAATTGTGTTGGCTGAATTTGGTTTGTTTTTGGCTGGATTTGGGTTTTATTATTTTTTCTTTTTATTTGTATTATGTACTATATATATTGTTTGTGCTATATATAATCATCTCTTGATTCTAGTCCAGCATTATGATTCACTATTTTATTTATTCGACTTATTTTGGATGGTGTTGGAAAACCTTCTTATTGAGTGTATCACAAGAGCAAAAATAGTTGGCAATCATGAGCCTTTACTTCCTTCATGGGAGTGAGACTGGATTTGCCACCTGGAAATGGAATGTTAGAATTCTAAAAAGAATAAAAAGGTTATTCTCCGGAATTAGGAATTCATCTTATCAAAATTTGTGAACATAGAAACTATATATATATGGATTATTTTTTTCCCTTGTGAATAAAGAACTTAACCACAAAATAATTTTCACAAGTTTTAAAAGAGAGATGATGACACGAAGTAGTAATAGTTAAAAGAAAAATATTGCTTAATGCAGGAAAAGTTGAATGGAAATAAATTACTTAATCACAAAAAAAAAAAAATCTACTGTTATTCTAATGCAGCTTTTTCATTTTTTGCCTAAAAATGAAGATAATAAAAGAATTTGTGTATAATTGTATAATAAATTTGAATTATCTAACATGCTTGTTAGGTGTATGTCCAACCATACATGTTAGATACATATCACACATTAATGTCAAGGCATCGTGTGTATGACAAGGATATGCCATGTGCTTTTTAAGAGTTCATGTAAATTACTCTAGTTTGATTTTGCAAAAAGTCATGATTGTGGCCTTCATTGAGCTTTATGTTCAATGTGATTTGTCAAACCTCATCCTAACGGTATATCCGATATCAAAGTAGTTGGTCCGATAATGAGACACAAGTCAGTTTTTTGTAAATATATATATATATATATATATATATATATATATATATATATATATATATATTCTTGCTAAAAGTTAATGCAGATACACACACTTACCATATATTTTTGCCCTTACTAAGAGTCATCGAACACTTGATCTCTCAAAATGAAAGAAAAGCTTATATTATCTAAGCTAGATTTTATTGTAGTCCCAAAATGCTAGTGATGGTTCTTAGGCCAATGCTATGTCAAATCCTACTCCAACTAATGTACTAGGTTGCCTATGTGAGCTGTTACACTTTAATGGGCCAGGTGTAGTTATTGGCAAGTGAGAGATTGCATCAACAGATCCCAAGGCGCTATCGGATGATTATGATCCACTTGGTCCAGATTGCTGGAGAGTTTGGCTAAAATGATGTCATCAAGAGGGATTGTCCTTTGTATCGAGGAAACCTATCTGGAATGTATTAGTTTCGTGATGCTCACACAAGTACAGTTATTTGGCCTAGAAAATTTGTGAAAATTCTAGAGGTGATCAATAAATACCTTTTATTTTTTTTAGAATGTAGTCATTATTATATGATTTTATTTTATTTTTAGATTTGTTGGTATTACATTTTTATTTTTCTTTTTCCTCACAAGATTTTCACAAGGTCATTAGGAGCATGCTCAAAGGTAATATATTTAACTCATAGGTTACATTTGTTCATTGTTGTCTTTTTTTTTTTTTTTTTTCTTTATAAATTGTCAATTATATATTTGGATGAATTATACATTTCTACCTCCATTTTAGACTCATGTTAAGGGGGTCACGTGCCTTAAAGTGGCCATATTTGTGGTGTATAGGGGTCACATGCCTAAAGTGACCATTTTTGCGGTGTATAGAGAACTTTTCAATCTTTTCAGGTGTGATGTCAAGAAGTACTCCAGGCCCTGTCAACATCAGTATAAATATCCATTAGAACAAACTAGAAAAATAAAAAATTGTGTTTGACAATGTTAAGAGTTTGAACTGAGTCCTTTGGAATTGTGTCCCTTTTTCATGTGTTTAATTAAGAGTCAACACAAGATTTCTTAATTAACTGCAACATAAGCTAATTAAGTTAGACAATGCAATCAAATTAATCTTTGTGAGTTTAAGATTAAAGTCCGACAATGTCAGAGTTTGAACTTTGGTGCAAAAATTTTTGAGCCATAGATTTATCATATATTATAATTTTTTTTTTTTCTAAAACCCGCGTGATAAGATCAAACATTTCAGTGTAAAATATCATAGGAATATCTGAAATTTGGAAATTATAGCTTATATCCTTTATGTGGTAAGTTGGTGACATGAAATAGGATACCGCTACATAATACTTTCTATAAGCATCCAAAAAAATCATTATTTTTGCCAAAAACATAACTGTCCATACATAGAAAGCAAGATAGATTTAAGTTTTCTACTAAACCAATTCAAGTACACATCCAGATGCTGTATATAATGTGCTGAACTAAGTGGCCCATAATAGAGTATAAAGATGCAAATGATTTTTATCCATTCTTTCTTTCTTTTTCTTTTTTTTTTCTTTTTTTTTTCCTTTTTCTAACAAAAATAAAAAATTAAATCAATAGTTTGGACAAAACTATGGCTGGTGGTGTCATGGTCTCAAACCCAAAGTTTATGCAATGTGTGGCCAAGTTTTACATTTATAAATTGCCACTACTACCTTTCACTAAAAATATAGCTAGGGTGAGTTGTGATCGTCCCAAGGGATTGAGTGTCGTACTAGGTTGAGGAATCAAGATTAGGGTTAGTAGGTCGAGTGATCAAAATGGTTATTGGTTGGTTGAATTAAACTAAATGCAAATTAAACTAAAGTAAACAATAATGCAATAGAGAGAATAAAAGAGAGAGATCTTGGGGTTTAGAGATCACCACTAAGTATAGCTTTTCTATACCTTTGATGAATGATTAATGAGGGGAAGAACATGTATTGCAACAAAGTGTGTGTGTGTGGTTGTTTCAACAAGCATGGATGAAAAATTAAGCATATATTGTCTAAACAACATGGCGAATAGCACAACATATCAAATTAACCCATTAATCCTTTCTTTAAGCTCACAATCCAAACACATCACTAGGTTAGAGACACATGTCACTTGCTCTTCATAAGTATGGAACATCAACAACAAACATGGATTGCCCTCCCATTTAACAACTGCACTACAACTAAGCTAATGGCATGAAATTAAACTAATTAAACTAAGGGAGAGGCACAATCCATCAAGAAATAAGTATGAACCATCAAATAAACCACAAGAACATGACATTAAACACTATGTCTTGACAATCTCTAGATCTATAGCATCAACACACATAGACATGCATCAATAACACAAGAAATAGAGACAAATGTATGAACATCTATTCTAGCATACATAGACATATGGATAGAATGAAATGATCAATTGGAAGCATTAAACCATATATTATTGAAGAAACAAGATCTATGTTTATAAAAGCGTCAAGACATGAATCACAATACAAATCCCCTCAAAAATATATAAATCAAAAAGTAGAAAGCATGCTTAGGACTAACTTTAGCCCTAAGAGGATGTCTAGCCACTCATGGATGATGTCCTCCAACCCTCAAGGGCAAGCTCCATGGAAGAAATCTGCTCCTTGGTTGATGGAGAGTCTCCAATGGTGTCTCTAGCCTCCTCCTCTTCTTTGCTTCCTCCCTAAGAGTTCTCTAAGGTATGGTATAATATGATACAATATGATATTCTTTCTTATGATACAAAAAGTAATCCTTATCCTTATATAGGTAGGTTAAATGACACCCAAAATGAGCTGGGGTCGTACAGCAAATATTCCCCAGTGATTGGATAAGGGACAACTTTTGTGAGCTAGAAATTTAACTTTTTCGCACTAGAGGAAGTTCAATCAATCGAACCTTGGACTTGGATCGATCGAACATTGCTGAGATCTATAGAACTTAGGCTGGATCAATCCTCAATGGCGGCGCCTTTTTGGATAAAAACAAATCTGAGATATTTTGAAGATATTTTTGGGAAAAGGACAAAAGTGGTTGGTAGGGTAATACAACTGGATAAGATCAATCATTTGGATAAGGACAAGAATATTCGATCGATCAGAGATAGAAGTTGGATCGATCGAACTTTGAGATCTTTGTTCAGGGACAATCATGGCTCAGATCCATCTTGAAATGCTGAGATCGATATAAGTTAGATCGATCGAACTTTTCTTAAGATTGATCAAAGTTGCTAAAATTCCACCATTTGCTTCCTTTTGCTCTACTTTGCTCCTTTCTTTGATTCATCCCAGAATTGCTTCAATTATGCTCTTATTTGGCTGAGTTAGCTTATTTTGGGGATAAGTACCTAAAAATGGAAATAACACGAAATCAATACAAAATGGTAAAATAAGATAGATAAAGGTTCTAGAATACCTAAGCTTAAGGGGTTTAAATATGCAGTTTTCAGCACTCATCACACCCCCAAACTTAAATATAGCTAGTCTCTAGCAATGAACTTCAAAGTAAAGGAATGAAATGAACAACTATACAACTATGAACTAGAAAGCAATAAAATGATAGTGCCATTTTCGTAAGGAATACGATTACATTTAGCATATGCAACAAGCCTTTTAAACTCCTAGGTTACCCCTAGTGGACGAGTGAAGTCTCGTGAGGGTTTCCAGAAATGATACCCATAAACATTAAGCTCATTCTTTCAAAAGAGGCACCAATATTGCAAACAAGCATTAGGAGAAAACTACCTCAAGTATGCAATGTTTCAAACATTTCTAAGCAATCTCCCAAAATTTCAACATCAAGCAAGCAAGTATGGTCCTCCACACATCAAGAAAATGATCATGAAAATCAAATCAACTCTAAAATCCTTTTTAACTGGACCGGCATCAAGTGTTTTGCTATCTAAGCCAACTAAAGAATTAATATCCACCTTTATCAAGAACGAAAGCTTTCAATGCGCTACTAGCTCAATTAGGATATAACCAATTCAATAATCAACAAAGCATGTACCCCACAAATGAATGTTAGTGTGCGCCTGTGCTAGTGTAGAATCCTAGAATGAATCTCAAAACAATCACAAAATTAGGATGATGTGGACCACAAATGTAAGTAAGATATCAATTTTTCGAAAAATTTACTCATAAATAGCATCCACAAGGCATACAAGGAGTATTGGACTCTCAAGTCATTCAATTTTTAAATTTTAAACAATACAGCCCTCAAAAGATCAAATCATAGCTAACATGGACCAATCAGATAAAATCCCTCAAATACACAAGACATGCTCAAAATTTTGCATTAAAAAACAAACACTGCAAAACACCATTACCCCCAAACTTAAATGGCACAGTGTCCTCAATGTGCAAAGAGAACAAAAGGAAAGAGTATACCAGTGCAATTAAGGCAAAGAATGGCTGGGACTGAAGTATCCAAAGTGGGTGGCCTAGCCGCCCCCCCCCCCCCCCCCGCCCCGCCGCCCCCAAAACTTGGGATTTACTGTGGTCTTAAAATTTGGCACTTGGATAAACTCATCAGATAACAATAGGGATAATAACAGTGCACAGTGGACATGCAAGTATAAATGGGATAGCAACTGAAAATAGAGAGAGGAATAAAGGTGGTCCTGAAACTTTTGGGTAGTATTCTCTCACATTGAAGTCACTGGAATGCACCTGATGGAGTTAAACAGATAGCAATAAGAATATGAAAATATAACATCCATACAGAAAACATATATAAATAAAAATAAAGTATAGTACATCCAGTATCAGAGCCGACAGACACGGCTACAAAAATAGTATAACAGTATCAAAAACATTATGATATCACAGATATATAAAATAACAGGAGGAAAGGGATAGAGAGATCACAAAGAAGAGGTAGGACGGGTAGGTCGCGCTTCGCAGATGTGTCTGGATAGATCCCTGAATGCGGTCATGACATCTATACGGAGGGTAGCAATATTAGCTCTGATGGAGACAGCATCCTCCCGGAGAGAGACTGTGTCGTCGCGAATGGATACAACAGCATCCTCCAAAGCCTGGAGTCGCTCTCCAAAGCTGGGTGTCTGTGCTGGAGCCTTAGGTGCTGGATCTGGAGAATGATGACCCTGAGCCTGCTCCGCATCATGAATAGGTGACCTAACTGGAGAGTACTGCTCTGCGTCCTCTGCAGGCTGCTCTAAATCAATATCCATATGTACGGCAGCCGGGTCGACTGGTATGTTGTCCGCTGCTGGGTCTGCTGCTGCTGCTGCCTCCTCAGCCTCTAAGTCTTCTGCCGCCTCTACCGCGTCATCCTGAAGGCTCTTGATAAGAGCGTTGTAGCTCTTATCCTAGTCCTTCTTCAGGAAGTGACAGGATCCTCGCTCAGGGTGCTCCCGTGGATAGAAAAGATAGCGTTGGTCTAGCAAAATTTGGGTGATGAGGTGGCCAAATGGGAGAGACTTAGCCCTTTTGGGGCTCTCATTGCTAATGTGATCATCATAAAGCTTCCTCATCACGCTCCAGATGAGCGCGGGGATAG